AGAATAAGCAGTAAAGAAATGACAAGTAACCCCCAAATAGAAACAATACCAAAATAAACTTTTACCAGACATGACTACCATAAAAGTACTGGCATTTTAAGTTAACATCACATTGAAAGTCAAAACTTACCAGATTCATTCCTGCGATCATGAGAAAAAGTAGCGATTCCTCCTGCTGTGTGCTGCAACGCCAACTCAGCATACAGTAGGTGACACATAGGCTGCTTTGCTGATGTCCAAGTCAGGTCACCTCCAGGCCGATCTTCCTGCAACAAACCAAAGACGCAATTTTATAGTCGAAGAAACAGGATGCAAAAGAGGCAGGGAGCACGCAATTTCGACAGAGGAGGTCAAAGGCGACCCTCCTAGACCAATTCCAATCATTTCCAGCGATTTTTATTTTTTTCATTTTTGGCCAAATTTACAAAGGCTATAGCCTTTGTGTTTTTAGCGAAAATTGATGGGTCCGGATTTCGACGGAAAAGTAATCGATTCGACGGGGGTGACCCAGGGAACCACAAAACTACTTTTGGTTCAGCCAAAAACCACCCCTGTCCAGAGACACTTGAGTTTTAAGGGATTGTCTTTTGAATCTGGCGGGCAGCGTACAACGGGCTGCCTACCTAGCAGGCGAGCCGGTACAAGAAAATCGGGCGTAACTCGCTTAAAATGGGTCTGCGAAGTGAAATTTCGACGGAGAGTTAGTAAGGAGGTGCTGTCAAACCAATTCCAATCATTTCCAGCGATTTTTATTTTTTTCATTTTTGGCCAAATTTATAAAGGCTTATAGCCTTTGTGTTTTTAGCGAAAATTGATGGGTCCGGATTTCGACGGAAAAGTAGTCTATTCGACAGGGGTGACCCAGGAAACCACAAAACTACTTTTGGTTCCGCCAAAAACCACCCCTGTCCAGAGACACTTGAGTTTTAAGAGGAGGTCTTTTGAATCTGGCGGGTAGCGTACGATGGGCTGCCTACCTCGCAGGCGAACCGGTCCAAGAAAGACAGGCGCAACTCACTTGAAATGGACAGGCGGCGCGAAATTTCGACATTTCGACCATTTCCAGCGATTTTCAATTTTTTTCGTTTTTGGCAAAATTTACAAAGGCTATAAATTGATGGGTCCGGATTTCTATGGAGGAGTATCCGAGTCGACAGGAGTGAACCAGGCACCACAAAACTACCTTTTTTTCTGTCAGAAACCACCCCTGTCCCCAGAAACCTGAGTTTTATAAGAGCTGGTCTCTCTAACTAAGGGCGGGTACGCTACCTAAGGCGCACTGGCTAAGAACTCTGCTGTAGTGGGTCGGCCGCATGATATTTAGACAGAGCATGTGAAAAGGGAGTCTGCCCCACCAATCCAAACCAATTCCAGCAGTTTTGCAAATTGCCAAGATTTTTAAAAGACATTTTCAGTGATAACAAATCAGCCTGGATTTTGACAGAGGAGGCTTTGAATTCACCACCAAGGACCCAGGGCCCCCCAAAAACCTTCAAGTACCACCCTTTGATGCACACGAAAGGAAGCTCCTCATAGTGGAGACAAATTGGACCAGCGTTGGCGGTTACTGTCATGTCAACTCACCTATTCTTTTGGGTAAAATGACTCCATAGACTTCTCTTGCTAGTGTCAAGAACATTTCTGGGCCGAGTTCCTGCAATCATATTAAACGGTACTTTTAGCGCTCATCAACTATTAGTTACATATAATTTACTCATACAATACACTTTTAAATGCCTCTCCCCCCCATGCGTCTCTAAATGACTATGGTCTTTCAAATAACTAATTTTGGCACTGGATTAAAAATTAAGTACGAAGGGGCAGCTGCAAATTATCTGCAACGCACATTGATTGATTGTTTGGGGGATTACGCAAATAGGACCACTCGGTTTGCACCCCAACCAGAAAGTAATAAAGTTTTCTGTTCCACACGAGAATAATATAGAGTAAAATATATGATATGTGATAAAACACTGGCAGTTCACCCATTTGCATAAGTGACCTACAACAGTACTTAACATACGGCATGGATTGGAGGAGTGTCCCCATTCAACACCTTTTCAACAAAGCTGACAGTGAGCCAAGTTATTTAGATCACGGGCATCATTTACTCGGCCTCGGAAAATAACTTACAACTTAATTGTGCGTGTAAGAATTGAGCCACAGGAGCACACTACTAACCTCCCTACAACAATAGCCGGAATGGAACAATTCAATATTCCGGACCGGAAACAAGTAAGCACTATACCTTGCGAATAATAACGAAAAGCGGCGATGTCCACTCTAAAATTCTGGTTAAAACCCTATGATCAATAATTATATGAGTAGGTAGTATCGGTATTTGGCAGAAACGCCGATTGTGACACCGAATTTCACTGTTTGTTTACGTTTCCATAAAGGCGCAGGAAATGCGCGGTGGGGGTGGGGAGGAGGAGAGGGGTAGGGGGGACGCGGCAACGGCAAAGGGGGAGAGCAATAATCTAATAATTACGGAATGCTCACCGACATATCGTGGTCGCGGGATGTGATTCTTTCCTGGGGTAGGCAATCCCGCCTCGCTTGTCCAGGATGTGATCCTTTGGGGATGCTTCTCGTCCCGTGCATCGTTGTTTGGCTCCAGGCGGCGACGCCAGGGAAGTGCCATGTGACAATAGTGTAATGATCAGGATAATAAACTATTATGGGCGATTTGCTATTAATAATAATTATATTTGGCGACTTTTAAGAAATATGCACCAGCCCGTGTGTAACAACGTTTGGAGCCGGCGCCGAATCGTATTTGTCGTGAGAGGGTCATCGGCGTGCTCGGGCTCGGGAAGGTCCCCAATGACGTCTCCGGGGGCCCGGACGACATCGGCACTACCAGATTTGGACTCAGCGAGAAAACCCTCGAACACGATATTTCAGTCGTCCTAGTCGTTCCGAGGTTGACGGTCGGTCGGTCGGTCGGTCGGTCGGCCAAACCGTATCTCTTATTTTGACAGCCCCAAGTCCACCTCCCCATGTCGGCTGGTCTTTTGTCTTAACCCTTGGTCCCAGCGCCGCAAACTACTAAATAGGAAAAAATGAGCCTCGGTCAGTATTCGAACCGATAACCATCCGCATCCCGGGCGCGCGCTCTTCCAACTGAGCCAGTGATGAGGCTAATGCGGAGGTGAAGCTTATCTCCGCTGATGCCTTTGGAGTGGCGAGGGGCATGCCAAATTGTAATACAGGTCATGTCTCCTGAGTGAAGCAACCCAACACTCACTATTGGCCAAGTGTTGGAGCTGTACATTCCCTCACCTCCTACTTTTTGGGATTCACGATTTTCCTCACGGGTATCACCACAAAGGCAATGAGAGAAATAAAAGAAATTCTGAGGTGATTTTGAAGCATTATTTATTCCATTACCTTTCTCATAATGTTGTAAAAAGTATCTCTTATACTTTTTGACATTACGACATGTAGTTTAGCCACTGTGTTTCAGTGTTCACTTGGGTTGTTATGTCCAAATACAAACATATGTGATGGGCTTTCAGAGGAATGGGGATCCCATAGCTTACAACCAGAGGTAGAAATATACAAGACTAAGACTGCCTGCAGCTGCGGTGTGACATGAGCTATTCTTTTTTTCTTTTTTTTTGAGGTTCAAATTACAGTTGCTTAGTCTGCGCCCATCCCATTCATCAATTAGAGTATGTAAATCATCCACGTAGGTAGACTCTTAAATACCATCATTCCTACAAGTAACATTCATAGAATCTGGTTAATAAAAATTGACTTGGAATGCAAAATATATCAATACTAACCGCTCCAATCTCAAGGAAAACAAAGTTGAGGTGAAACATTAAAGACAATAGACCACATGCATATTTTTTAACGTACATACTGTAAAATCCAACAAACGTAAATTTTTTAACATTAATATGTGACTTTAAAAAATATGACACACAGCGGTTTCACAACACTTCTCATATCTGATGTGCACTAAGCAGAGCTGATTCATACCTATGACAGATTGGTCCACATGTTTTCAATGTAGAAGCCCGATGATTCTCATCTTACAGTTATAAAGCCCTTTATTAGAATAGAACTAAAACATGAAAAATAACTCTATCAATTATACAAACCTCAAAATAATGATAGATACAAAAGGAAACAGACGCCACAAATAACAATACAATATAAAAAAGAGACAAAGTGAGGCTGTAATCTCATACAAAACAACTTTCCATAGATTTGACAGAGGAAAAGTCACCAATAATGCAGAGTAAGCAGAAATATAAGGCAAGCACTCAAACTGAAGGGTTAAATAAATAGGAATAACAAAGTCATCTGAAGGCAGAGCTCGTTCCACTCATTACCTCACAGACAACACAGAAACTTGTAAAGAATGATTACCCGTACATATGATAGATATTAAAACTATATCATCCTGAGCAACCAACACAGTACTTTTAATTCAGTTGAATTTGGAAACATGCATCTGATTAGCACAACACAAAACCAGCGTTTTTAAAAGTTCTTTTCCACTAGTTTTTTCTTAAAGAAACACCATAAAAAATACAAGCTTTCAACTTGTGAACTAGACTGAATTCATAACTATGAAGTTTAAAATTGAATATGATTTAAAAAAAAAAAATTGCTAAAGAAAAAATACAATAACATGTCCCATAAAAAAAGGACAGACAACAATGAGTACAATATAAGTTGACTTCTCCCTTACAAAAAGTTAAGACAAGATGATTTGACTAACATCAGAAATCTTTACCCTGGGGCAGTATAACTACGAGCAAAGTTATAAGAGGTTCTAACAATTGATACAGTCTTTTTCATTTTCTACAACATAACAATTCATCTAAATGGGACTGGACATGTGTATCTAAAAGCAGTCATACATTAACAGACGCTGATGAAAACACAACAGAACATGCTTAACCAATAAAATGAACTAGTCCTGAACCATATAAAATTTGGTATTGTATCACACACTCCACTGTCATAGGACAGTATTCAATGATGCGGTATCCAAGGCTAAAAGCCTTTATTGGATTTGGACTAACATCCATTTCCATTGGTATAAGAAGTACTGCTTTCAGAATAAGAAAAATGTCCCATAATTTAATGGTGATTAGCAAATTCAACCTTTAATTGAAATTATACTTAAACATGAATTTGAAATACACAGCTGCAGACAATCAATGGCAGTCTTACTTCCATATTTTTTGAGGAGGGTTGCATGTATTGACACAAAGCTGGGCAAACCTACTTTTAAGAGTTTCACGCAACTCTTGACGTTTTTCCATCACATTTCTCATTTGGGCACGGAACTCTTGAACCTCTGCAGCCGGAATATAACTGTCTTCATCATCCTCTGATGAGCATGATTCCTGGAGAGAGATGTAAATTTTCATTAATGTGATGTAGTAAGAGAAGATAGAATATTTCTTTACAATTCTCAGTATAGAACAAACCTCTAGCATCTGCTCTAAAGTAAGCAATAGACCCCCTCCAGTTTTCTGGTTTTGAGTTGAATTGCGTGACTCTGTACAGCCTTCACCAGAACATTCACCTGTATTTTTAAAAACAAATACATGAGTTCCAAAATCAATATTTAAGAAAGAAGACAAATTAATAAAGAAATAAAATAAGATAATCTCACCATTACAAAATCCATCTGAGCATGCAATCTCTGACCCATCAGGTGAACTGGGCAGGCTAGATGAGCCAGTGCCTGAAGCACAGTCCGGAGGACCACCTGGGCCAGATGAGTAACCACAATCAGCCAAATGATCAGACGTCCATGCCTTCCCCTTGGCTGCATTACTTTTCTTACCATCTAAAACAAAGTAAATTGTGGAATTAAACATAATTATAATTCAAAGTGTTTCGGTTAATGTTAAACTGGCAATAGCTATTACCTTTGCAAAGACCTGATTCTTGGCAAGAATCACAATGAGGAATAGAGTAATTGTTGTTGGGTGCTTTACCTTTTACTGTGCCATTAACCTTGAGGGACTGTATAGCTTTGTCTTTAGGAGAAGAAAAGGGGCCAGGATTGCTATGGACTTTCCTGTTTAATGGCAAATAAAAAATAAGATTATGCAAGTATTAAAACTAGAGAATTACACTTACATCATCCAGAAGAAAAAAAAAGTGTACACTTTTCATACCTGTTATCTTTGCCATTAGCTTGCAACTTGTGGTCATCAATGCCGGTGTTTTGAGCAGATTCTTGTTTCTTGCGACAGTCATCACAGTCACACATTGGAGATCCAATAATATGTTCAGATAGTAAATCAACCTGGGAAAAAAGTGATTAAAAAATGTGTAATCTTGTAACTATATGTAATTAGTGAAAAGAATACAACATTAAGTCCAACATACATGGTGTCTGGTTTCAGGACATGAACATGGGCTTGCTGATCGTTCACATGCAGGTTCAGACTGCTCTTCTGACTCACACTGTCAAGGAAAGCAACATTGGTTGAGAAACAAGGTTGATGTAATCAGAAAGTCAACTGAGAATGACACAGATACTCACTTCACAACTATCTTTATCCTCTTGTTGACCATTCTGTTCCACACCAGCCCTTCGTTCCCTCTTCTTTCTTTTCTTTAATTTTTTCTGCTCTTTCAGTCGCAACTTTGCCGCTTCCTCTTGTTGCATTTCTTTGTAAAGCAGCTCAAGTTGAGAAATCCCTCTTTTAGTCTCCACAGCAACCTAGAACCATTAAAATTGATATCATTCCCGCAAGAAATATATATATAATAAAATGTATAATAAATATATAATAAAATCTACACCAAAAATTAGAATACAGTGATCTTAGTATGTAAGATATATTAAAAGACTCACCTCAAAGTTCCTACACAAGGCGTCTACAGCAACGGCAGCCAGAACTTGGCAAGTACATTCCTCCTCCCGGAGTCGCAAATGGATCCGATGCAGGCGCTCATAAACACATATACCAAGGCATGTCAACACTTCCTCTTGGGCAATTTCCAGGGTTTTGGCATGTCTCTCCCTTCGGCTACCAAGAAGTTCTGGTTCAGCACGGGTTATTAATCCAGCTATGTAATCTGTCTTGCATTGCAAATGAATGTGCTTTTCAGGCAGACACCGTTTAATACCAGAATACAAAGCTGGAATGTAGCCTTTCTCTTTGCAAGGATCTGGATCTTCCACAAGAAGAGTGTAGGCTCTCATGACTTTAGTACGGCACTCTCCACAAAACCTGCAAAGTAAGTATGTAGACCATAGAAAATTAAGTGGACAAATTGTATAGGAAACCAGTGGTTATAAATAAAAAAAGTACAAGTACCAAGCAAGTAATTAGGATTAGAATAAGAATCACTTTATTCCAGTGATATCATGCAAAACATACCGATGCTTGTGAAGATAGTTATTCAGGGTTGAAAGTAAAGCTGATGCTTCAATAAGAAGAACTTCATCTTTACATAATGGCTTCATACGATCCCAGGCATCTCGCCACTGATCTGTGACTACAGCTCGAGCTCGTTGTGAGTCCAGCGAATGTAAGACACAGCGTCTGCTCTTCTTTGACCTTGGCTGACTCTCCACTAAACTGCTAAGATTGTCACTAGAAAAGAGAGGATGAGTTAGAAATAGGCATTAAGGCATGAACAAAGTAAAATGTTAATATGTTCATTGGAAAAGTACCTATGTCTATAGAGTAAGGTGCACAGGGGCTGGGGAGCAGACAGTTTATCTTCTCGTAGTGAGAGAACACCATCTTCACTAATAAGAATTGGATCCAGAGCTGGGTGCCCAGACTTCATAAGTTGGTAAAATACCCTCTCCACACTAAAACATAAAAATCATTATTTGGTGGCTGAGGTGTCAGGACATACATATAAAGAGAATACAAACATATAGTGATGGCAAAAATGCACTGGACAATAGAGAATAATTTTTTTAGATTTAATCAGAACATAAATATTATAGGACACTAGCATGACTTACCTTCGACGACACCCAACACAGGGAACCGTCTGGCTTAAAATAGACAGCAAATCTTTGCAGTTGACCTGGAGCGCCTCTCGCACTTCATCAATGGTAAGAACATTATATTTCCTGGTAAATTCTTCTAGAGCTTTACCTTTGACAACAGGATTGTCACAGCCCAAATTCATAGAATTGAGATCCATAACCATCTGTAAGTTCAAACAACAACTGTAGTGATAAGTTAAGTGGATGAAGTTAACCTTCTACAAACAAAAGTGTCAAAAAAATGTAATTAAAATCGAATGTCATAAATTTAATAAATATAACAACACTAGTTGGAATGATTCATGAGGAATGCTAGGTGAGTATAAGAGAGAATAATGAGCCCCCTCCCCTCCAAACAATAAGACAAGTCGGGCTCCCCCAGACCGATAGTAGGGGCGAATTAGGCAGCGTCACGACCTAACCTAGTCAAAGTGACTAGATTAGAGATGTTACAGGAAAATGACACATTCAATGTTTCCTTGGGATATGGAAAGAAGGCATACTATCTAAAGATATAAAAGTTAAATGACAGAAGCTCTCAACGAGGGCCTACTGACGAGATAACACCGACTCCACTCAAAGTCGGTTACCCACCCCCTCTGACAATCAGAACAGTAAAATAAATTTATATCCGTTTATTATTACGGAGCATCTGCTAAGAGTAGCCAGTGAAAGTCACAAATGGAAGTCGGGTTGGCCTTCCTGTCAGGCTTGTTTTCAACTATATAGTATTGTATTTGAAAACACAAGCAATATCTACCGATAGATTGTCGTCCACGAAGAGGGGTAGTTGTCTTCGTTTTAGATCGCATGTTTCATTACGAAACACTTCAACGAGTGTCGCCATCCCTTAACCCGTTTACTCTTCAGCAGTGAGAAATTATTCTTGAAAAATATCAGTCCTTCAACCGTTCAATGCCAATATTGTCCTCAAACACACAGACAAACGACGTGTTCTACGAGGGTGCCATTAAAAGTTCACTTCCGCCTAAAGGAGGTTAAGTAAGGAGAAATCCGTGCCATTCAAGAAGGCGCGGCCTCCGACGATCGAGTAATCGAGCACATCGACTTGGCATGCGTTCTGTTTGAAAACAGAAAACATTCAAAGTCTGCTGTATTTGAAATTGATTGCAGGGAATTTCGTGTGACATTTAAAACAGCGATACGTTATTCAAGTAATTCACCATGGCCAAACATCATCCTGATCTTATATTCTGCCGAAAACAACCAGGAGTGGGTAAGTGTTTGCATTAAGTCAGTGTCCATAATTTTTAAGGTTATACCGGTAATTCAGATTTCAAATATTAAGTTAAAATTGTCGTGAGTCCTTGGGTTTTAATCGATAAACGTATAATTATTTTCTTTAGTCATTCCAAAATTAAACAGGCTTTTCTCTTCGTTACAGCTATTGGGCGTCTCTGTGAGAAGTGTGATGGCAAGTGTGTCATCTGTGATTCCTATGTTCGTCCCTGCACTTTAGTACGAATTTGTGATGAATGCAATTATGGATCGTATCAAGGACGTTGCGTCATTTGTGGTGGTCCTGGTGTATCCGATGCTTACTACTGTAAGGAATGTACAGTTCAAGAGAAAGATGTAAGTTGGGTTTGGTTTCTAATACCGTTTACCGTATTAACTGTCTTGTTTTGGCTGCTTTCTAAACTTGCTTTGCAGTGTGTATTCATTTTCTTTACTTACTGCAACAATTCATCTATCTTATTTGCTGTGTTTTCAGAGAGATGGTTGCCCAAAGATTGTTAACCTTGGGAGCTCAAAAACAGATCTATTCTACGAGAGAAAGAAGTATGGATTTAAAAGACGGTAGCCCAGTTAGTGTAAGTAAAATACATTCCTCCAAAACCAGTTTCAACAGGCCAGGCTTCTTTTGGTGTTATATATTCTGGGCAGTTGCATTATTATCTTTTGTTGCTCTTCAATTTTCTCATCAAATGCATAGAAATGAATCAGGAAT